GCCTCGGGAGTGAGAACGGCATCCACAAATGCAGGTTGAGGTTGTATCATGCTAAAAAGAAGCCACAAACATGATCCAGAAACACTGGAAAACTGTTCTGTGGTCAGATGAATCAGCACTTGAAATTCTTTTTGGAAAATATGGAATCTGTGTACTCCGGACTAAAGACTAAAGGAACCATTTGCCTTGTTATCAGTGCTCAGGTCAGAAGTTTGTGTCTCTGGTGGTACGGAGGTACATGAGCGCCTGTGGAACTGGCAGCTTGCACATCTGGAAAGACACCTTAACCAGCATATACAGATTTTAGATCAACATTTGCTCCATTCAGATCACATCAAACTCAAAACGAGCTAACATTGCTCTTAAAATTGTACAATGTCTCAATTTCAGTGTGTTATTTTCTTTTCAACTGTAATTAAAAGATGGGTTTACGTGACTTACACATCATTACATTTTTATTTTATTTACACTTTACAGTGTTCTGACCTCTTGAGAAGCGGGGTTGTCTTTGAATTTGTAATCTGTGAATTAATTTATTATTAAAGTGCAAAGTCAATGGTGTCAAAGGTGAATCTGAGCTGAGAGCTGCTAATAAGTGGTCAGTGCAGAGCAGCTGGCTTTTAGGGGTTCGTGTGCAAACGTTAGAAAGTTTAGGAGGAGCACAAAACTATGCAGGGAAAAACAATGTGATCTAAGATCTCTGGTTCTATGAGAGCTGAGGTAATTTATCACTCAATGAGGACTAAAGGATGTTGGCATGAGAGCCACCCAGTGGTTTAACAACTGCATTTCACATGACAGGAAATAAGTGTAGTAAAAAAGCTTTAAAACCGTGTGAATATCCATACATCTCTGTCTTTTTTAATCCTGATATTTTGCCTTGTGATCTGTTTATGTAAAATGCACTAAATATTGTAAATCAGCATAATCCCAGAGAAGTAACTGATCCCATATTTAGAGCTAGTCAAAACAATAATTATTATACGGGTGTAATTTTACTTACAATACTTACCCGTTGCTGTAGGTCAAAATGGGGTGATAGTTTATCATATGTGAAAACTTCTGTTTCCGTAATAAATATACAGATAAAAAGATAAAAAGTGAAAAAAAGACATCAACACACAACTGGAACATTTGATAAGAAGCTTTAGGACTGCAGTGTGTAATTTCCTGTTCCAAGATATGTTCAACTATATCACGCTTGTTGATCTGCCAGAACGGAAGAATAAATTTTTAAAAAAAAATCTGCGATGTGATATTGTGCACAGTCGTAGACGTGCGGTGGCCGAGCAAACAGGAGACACTGCAAATCAGTAACAGAGCTGCTGAGCTCAGCTGATGTTTGAACTGGAACTTTTATCACACGCACAGATCCGTTCTGGCATCTCCCCACGCTGATCGAGCACTTTCTAAGTCGAATGCAAACAGTCGGCGCAGCCCTGCAAAAAAATAAAAAATCCACCTGAAGAGGTCAGTCAGTATGAAGCCATAAAAGAAACATTTACACGCATTTTCACTGCTAGCAGATCAACATTAACCCTTTAACGCTGAACAGCTGCTCTTTCCTTCCTGTTGTTTGGATCCATTAATTGTAAAGTCGTTTTATGTCATCAGCTCTGTCAAGTCCTTTTTAATAAATACATAATATATTTGGGACAAAAAGAGCACAGGGGAATAAAAGAATTACTAAATCTATATTCAGTGGGTGATGCAGTCTGCAGAACTTTAAGCAGAAAAATGCACAAACACCTTAGTAATATGCACTGATTTTTCTCTTAGGTAGACAGGAACACTGTATTTGTTTAGAGCAACATGTTGATAACTGCAGGGTTTGCACTGTTGTAGCTTTCCAAGCATTGTAAAGAGCCACCTGTTATTGTGGAGGTACTGTATGAGGGGATTTACCCTGTAATCATGTGGAATTTCTTTGGGTGATCACTCTGCAGCAGCAGGTAATGAAGTGGAATGAGATCAGAGTAGAATTAAAAGTGCAGCAAGGGCTCTGCCACCCACTGAGATGAATACTCTTCAAACAGTCATGTGCGATGCTGGATTAAACCCGTCGAACATTTGACAGTTTCCCAGTTTTTACAGGACTACTTAAATATCCTCAGTGTTACATGCAGTCCAGGTCACGGGAGTCTTTTTGAAGTCTTATCCCCAAAAAAACACATTTTCTGCGGTAGCTTCCAAAAACTGATGGATGTGCCTTCAAAAAAGAAATAAACTGTAACTGGGGCAATACAGGTGGCTGAGGAGGAACATGTGAAAGAGCTGCATTAGGGTTGGGTACAGTTTTCGGTATTCCACAGTCCTGAGTAAGAAATGTAAGAAATGCTCTAAGGAACAAAGATTTGAAGCTAAGTTAATGGCCCTCAAAACCAGATTTAACCTTTTCATACATGTTCAAGTGCTTTATCTATCTTGCATTCACACCGATTTACAATCACTAGTTAACCTAAAATGCGGATTTTTGGGAGAATCCGGAGTACTGGGAGGAAACCCACATAACCACATGGAGTTCGTGCCGTCTCCACACAGAATGGGATGATAATGAGGCTGGGAGATAGGACCTACTGTACTTGCTGTGAACCAACAAAGCTATAAATCCTTTTAGGGTCTTATTGTAAAACGACTGTTAGTCTGATAACCTGATGATGCTCCCCTGTGCCTGTGCTCACCTTAATAGTGAGTATAACATTGGTTCATCTTATTCCAGGCT